CGCAGTCCGATCAGTCCATCTCCACCATGTCGCCGATCACAAGCCCTATCAGCAATCCATATATTTCTACCACTGACGATGACGAATCGCTCTCGTTCTCGAATTCGATCAATACCTCGCTCGTTTCTCCACCGTCATCGTTCTCGCAAGTTCATCGCCGCCGGAGTTCGCACAAGGCACACCCGCTGCACAGCTCACCGCTAGCTCGTCCACCGTCGACGTTCGTAGACGATGAGTGGGATTATAGTGAGACAGAGAACTGGGGTTGGTTCATACTCATCATGACATGGATCGTATTTGTGGTTGGTATGGGCAGCTGTCTTGGCGTGTGGAGTTGGGCATGGGATGTTGGAGAGACGCCTTACGCCCCACCTGAGCTCGAGGACGACCCAACGTTGCCTATCGTGGGATACTACCCAGCGCTGATCATCTTGACTGCGGTCATGGCTTGGGTGTGGGTCGTTGTGGCTTGGGTTGGGATGAAGTATTTCAGGCATGCTAAGGTGGTTGGCGAAGATGGTTGAATGCTGGTTTCTTTAGCTCTTATGATACCCCAGCTTATGTTTCTTTTTCAAACGGAATACATTAGATGCTTCAGCTGTACCCTGCTCGACATGATGTGGAGACATGTTGCTGATATGAACATCCGAACAGCTGCAACATCACATTCCTTGGGCACTTTGCACCCATCCTGTGACGTCGATTAGCAAGAACGGAACGTCTGGAGAGTTCTGCACAGAGGTCTTGCAGAAGGCCGTGCTAATGGATATTAACTATAACTTTGTGTAGTAAGCAAGGCCACAGTAAAGCAAGCAATGCCTCGAGCTAACCCTAGCTAGGACCACGTGCAATGACATTCGTTTCGGGTAGCTATGATTGTACCAGGCAACGTGAGTCCTCCTAGCTCCGAAGGATCGAGAAGAGAACAGCAGTCTTGATGGAGCCACACTCGAAATACTCGAACGTCTGTAACAGTATCGGTAGAAAACTTTTCGTATAGATTTCGCGCGGCGCGCTCCCCATGCTCGGCGCTGGAATTGCTCTATGATGGTATTTCTCTCCTCGGCGTTGTGCAAGCGACCTACGACACTAGCACTGCTTCGAATTTGGCCCACAAGGCTCTCAGACTTCGTCTCACTGCAATCAAGAAACTTGGGCAAGCAGTATGATGAGGTCGAACCCATCGCGAGCCAGATTGTCGAGAAATGGACGCGCCTTGGACGCTTTTCTGGACGCATCCACCCTCTTTCGCTCCGGTTCGATGCCGCCCGTCCACATTCTCCAGCGCGTCTTCACCAAGGTTTGGGCTTCCACCAGCATTGTTTATTCGTTGTCGGCAGAAACGGTATAACTTAAGATCCAGTGGACACTACGCGACTGCCTCCCCAAGTTTGCTTTCTGTCATCTCTGGTTCAGACGCGACCTTGGATGCGCTCTATGCGACTTCTTCGATATATCACGCCACATGTCTTCCCTCCGATGGCAGCTTCGATAGCCTTGCAAGGTTTCTGAAGCCTGCCAAGTCCCTGGCAACGCTACGACTTACGCAGTTACAAGCACGCCTTTCATGAAAACTATGTGGTAGTGATGCAATATGCTCCCGCGAGCAGTGTCCCCATAGACTCACGCTCCACGTTCTGTCAATGTTCGAACTTCTCTATGATCTACCTATTGTTTCGGGATATTCATTGCCCCGCTTCCGCTCCCGTTCCTGGTCGTAAACACCAATCATTAAGTTTCAGGAGACCTCACATGCCTAGATAGCTCTTCTTGAATCTACTAACAGTTCGATCTTCCAAGTCTTCCCCTTTCCCACTCCATCATCATGTCCCCGAAAACGCAAGCCCAAGAGTGGTGGATACTGAGTCGCTGCAAGACTGACGAGAAAGAGCCCTACTACTTGATCACGAACGGCAAAGCGATCAAAAAGGTCTCTCCATTGCAGATCTGCTCATTAGTCTCACAACAGCATGTTGAAGCCTTCGAGCAGAGCGTGCTAGCTGTCGAGACCTATCTTAACGGCAATGGCATGATAGAACGCAAGAACAGCGTTGAGCAGAACGTCTTCAAGCTCACACCCCGATTTAGAGAACAGGCAAAACAGTGGTTTCAAGACCAGCAAGCACGCAAACAAGGCACGAAGAGAGGAGCTTCACCCGGCTTCATAGACTCCGACTCCGAAGATGAAGCTCAAGAGGATACCGACGCGGATATTCAAGGTCCAAAAGTCTACATAAGTGTGAGCGTCAAGGCGTCTGTGAACTTCTTTGCGTGGGTAGTACAGGGCCCTTATCTCTGTGTACGTCTTTCATAGTCACGATCTCTATCTGCTGTTTCTTTTTAGTCTTCGGTCTTCCACTGACACCTCACAGCTTCACTGCAACAAGGTCATGGAAGTCGGCCTCACGACGAGCGCCTTCGGCGACCTCACCAAGATTGTCGAACAACTCTCGAAACCGTCAGCAGCCTCACGTCCCAGCAAGAACCCGGAAGCTCAGTTACGGATTGCGCTGAGAGGAATGCAGCAAGCTCAGAAGCAGACGGACGAAGAAAACGCCCGTCTGAAAGCTCGCCTAGTCGACAGTAAGATTGTGAAGGGCGGCGAGATCGATCGCCTCACCAGTGAGAATGAGGCACTGACCGCACGCCTGAGAGAGCTCGAGAATCTTCCTAAGCAGCTTGCCACCCTTCGCGAAGAGCGTGATAGAGCACTTCATGCTTTCAACCAGGAGAAGGATGACGCCGCTGTTCGCGAGGCAGATGCCGCAGAAGCGTTTGAGAGACGCGTCCTTGCTATCGAAGACGCGGCCCAGGAGAAGATCAAACGGCTTGAGGAAGAGCTTAGACGATCCGAGGCTGATAAGAGTGATGCGAATGATCGCCTCTTCCAGGTGCAGGAGCAGTTGACACGGTCTGAAGAAAGCGCGCAGAAGCTGTACAGGCAGGTCCAGGAACTGAAAGCACGACTGTCCGAGGCTACTCCGGACAACACTCCTGGCCAAGGTACGGTCATGATTGGCACACCTCTAGCAACACAACCCGACGCCTTGTTGGTGGAGGCCTTTGAAGCTTCCATACAGCGCGAAGCAAAGCTCGGCGATGAAATCAAGCTCCTCCGCCGCTCTATCGACGAGCAGAAAGCAGGTTCAGTACGCCAACTCAGTATAGAAGCTACCAAACGTGCCGACCTCGAAGCCAAACTCTCCTCTCAAACCGCGGAATGCACGCACCTCCACGCCCAGCTCCAAACCTGCGAATCCCAAACCACCAACCTCCTCTCCCGCATATCCCAATTCAACGCCCTCCTCCGCTCCCTGCCTCTCCTCCCATCCCCACCTCCAGAGGAACCCGTCCCCGAAGTTTCCGTCGCCCGCGAATACGCCCTCGACGCCACACTCCCGCTGGAGCTGCACACCCCCACCGCCAGCTCCAGCTCCAGGCCCGCCACACCCGCGACCGCCGCAGCAAACGTCAGCCATGCTCAAACATCCGTGCGGCCCGCCGACTCCACCACCCTCCTTCGTGACGAGAACGCTGATCTCCGTGCCCGCCTCACCGCTCTCGAAGTCCGCGCTACGGACCTACAGGCTTCTGTGGAGCAGTACTCTGATCAGCACCCTGAGTATATGCTCGCTGCCATTACGGCCGACGTCATGGCGCTGGACCTCGCGTTCTCTCTATACCATGTCGTGCCGCGGCTTCTTCTGCGGAAGGAGGGAGAAGAGGGGACTGGGGAGAAGGGGACTGCGGTGCTGGTGGCGGTACTGGCACGGCAGTATGAGGTGCGGAGGGAGCAGGTTAGGGGGAGGTTGGATCAATTTTTTCGGGAGGAGGGGAAGGGAGAGGAGGCTAGTAGGTTGGTCGGGGCGTTGGGGAGAGAGGAGTGGGAGGTTGTGGCGCCGTTTGTGGGAAGCGAAGAGAAGGTAGGCCAGAACCTGGATGGTCGAGTTGGCGATGATATTGGTGAGGCAGTTGATGAGGACGTGGAGATTGTGGAGGTGGGGTGGCCGGAGGGGTGGCAGAGGAGCGCGGAGAGGAGGGAGTGGATTCAGGGCGTTTTGGGAGAGGTTAAGCGATTATTGGCACTGTGAGTGAGCGGAGGTATTTCAAAAGCTCGGAAATGGTTTGAATTCTTATTTAAGCGCTGTTGGTGTTACGGCAGCGCCAGGGGTTAGGTGAGATGCAGGGGGTTGAAAAACGAACCCAGGCACGAGGATTCCAGGTCGAATGTAGGAAGCAGCTTTGGGTAGCTGCACCGGCACACATACTTCGAATCAATGGCAGTTTCTTTCGACTGCATTCATCGGATTCCGCTGGGACAGTGAAGAGTCTTGGCTCCAGGAAGTTACGGCAAGCTTGTGCACCTGTACCCCTACTCCGCGAAAGACCGCTCCGTGACGGGTAGTGTGGGGCAAGAACTTTTGGCCAATAGTCATCCCTACCACAAGTCAGTCACTTTCTCATCTCCCGTCCTTACTCAAGTTCTAATCATGGCCACAAACACATCTTTACCAATGCCACACCCTGTCAACGGACTGGGCATGCGGTCAAAACCAAGCCGGGACGACAGCTCCTATCCATCTACCTTCTTCCCGACGGGCATTTTAGCGAGAGTGGTGCAGTTGGCTAGCACACCATCTGATCATTTGCTTGACCCCACCCTCCCCTATCCCACAACCACCACCATGACACCATCATCCTGGCTTTGCGAGAGTGGTGCAGTGGCAGCACGCTCCGTTTCTATCATCAGGCAGGGTCTCAACCTGTGTTGTCGGACTAGATTCCGACAGCCGTCGTAAACAGGTGTTCGGAGAGTACCGTAAAGGAAACCGGAGAAGCGCGAGTTCGATCCTCGCCTCTCGCAATTTTTTCTCCTTTTTGCTCCATTAATGTACGCTCAAAGTGTCACAAGTGACAGTGGACATGTATGCCCAATTAGAGGGACGGTGTCTGCCCGCATATACTGCGTGCAACGCTGCGCTAGTATCCTTCAGGCTCCAGCGGGAGTAGTGTAGTGGTTTAGCATACAACCTTCCCATCACTTGTCCCACGTCTCAAGAACGTGAGGGCCCAGTCCCTGGCAAGGGAGTAATCTCCAAGAGGAAACAGGTTGTGACACGAGTTCGAATCTCGTCTTCCGCAGATCCTTTTTGGTTCGATGGCTGCTCGTCGGTTGCAGCATTCTGAACGCGAAATCAGACACAAGGAAGATAGAGCCATGTAGAACAAAGAGAAGAGGTGATGAAACCCTAAACGAACATCCAGACAAGACTTATGCCGCTAGATATTAAACGCTAGACAGAGAATACGCAGATTGAAGGAAGAAGACAGATCGACCAGAGTTGACGGGAAGCGAAGTCTATGAGCGTAAAAACCGACACACACTCTTCCCCCAAACCACACCCTTCTTGTATATCCTCATATCCGGCGCGTTCCCCTTTCCCAACCCCTCAGCCGCTTCCGCCAACGCCTCCCCCAACCCTTCCTCTTTGATCTCCCTCACAGGGTACTGATACGTCTTGAACGCAAACACCAACGCTCCCGTTTTCGGCAGCCTATGTAGCGTCTGCCGCTCCGTGCGCAGAACAGTTCTATCGATGTCCGCTTCCTCTTCTTCGTACTGCGGCTTCGCACCTTCGCCAGCCGCACCGGAAACGTCGTTTTTGGCGTCAGCGTCAGGCAAATGAATGTGCGTCCCCACCTCGATGAACAAATCCGTCGTCGTTGTGACGGCCCAATTCGTCCGCTTGACGATCTTGCCGGTCGGGATCGTGGCGAAGAAGCGGTCCATGCTCC